TGGACGGGCTCAAACAGCGGCGGGGCAGGTGGGACAAAAATCCACTAAAGGCTACATACACAACGTTAACAAGAGTTGAGGCTCAGGGTACTGGAAGACCATTGGAAGGTGGAATATTGGAGAAAACAACACTGTTTTTACACACTCCTCCAACCCAAACCATTCTATGATTCCTGATTCCCCTTCCCGGGTGAGGAGGGGTCATCAGGTGATAGAATAATTGCCCAAACAACAACAAATTGTTGTGGGTTCTTCAACCCATAGCCCAGGGATTCGAGGATTCAGCGAATCAAATCTGAGGCGAGAAGGATGGCAAAAGGGAAGCAAAGAGATGGTGAAGGAGACCAAGAAAGGGTGATGCTGGAAGCTGTGGAGACTGCCTAAAAACTCAGTCACCCGAAATACGGTGTGGGGGAGGGCAAGGGTTGACCTGGGCAGAGCATTTGCAAAGACACCCTCACAGGCAGTGGTCACTGCTGGGCTGAGCTCCTGCGCAGCACGCTGGGTGGTGCTGGGACCCAGTACTGAGCCAGGTCATTGTGTGAGAGGAAAATTCCCTTTTTTTCCTTACAAAATCAAACGGGGGGACGGGACGGGGCGGGACACGACTGTGCAGGGCGAGTCTCTGCACTCCGGTACTCACAGGCTGTGCTGAGGAAGGCTCCATAGAGCTCTCTGGGAATCAGGGAATCCGGCATGTCCCGAAGAAACTCTTTGAGCAGAGCAGCCACATCATGAACGCTTTGATGCTCATCCAAGAAAACATCCAGACCTTGGTCAAACTCTTCCCTCAGCTTCAAGATGGAAGAAGAGAGAAGAATAAAAACAACAGTCAGTTCTTCCTCTTTGTATGAGTCGTGCTGTCAGGGTCTGCCCCTGTACAGAGCTACTGCAATGCAAGGACAGGACTCCCAATGTCCCCCAGATGCAGGGCACCTCCAAAAACGGCATGCCAGAGCCCAACAGCCTGCTGCTGCCCCGAAGATGGGCCACAGGACCAGAAGGAGCTCCTGGCTGGTGAAGGGAGCCCAGACGGGGCTCTGAAGTGCCAACCAGGGGATGGAGGTTCATCTACTAAAGGCAGCTTGGAGAGATGAAGCCTGCTCTCCACAGCTGGCAGAAGGACCCAGCCACACGTTACAGGTTGTCTGTGATGCAGAATGTGCCCATGACATTTTAGACCTCTCCATGTCAATGTCTGCTTTATTGACTCCCCACCCATACAAGCATCTGTCCTTGGGACGCGGCAGTGCTACACAGGATGCAGTAAATGTCTCACTTTACCTGCTGAACTCTTTTCTTGGAGCTCCCGACACGGAAGATGCCCACCGTTTGGAGACCTGGGAGACAGACAGGTTAGTGCTCTGCATTCCCACCGCCCCCTGCCACCCCGGCGAGTCCTTGGAGAACCTCAACATCATGGAAGGAGTTCTTTTGCACTGCACGTGAGGCAGCGCATCCTTCCCCACTCCTGGCAGAGGGGCTAAAAAGAAAGATTTTGGAGCCATAAGATTTTTCTGGGGCTGTCTCTGTGTCAGGGAAGGGATCGCATCTGTACAGTCCCTCTGAGCTAGATGCTGGATTTGCAGGGGGAGTGAAGACCAGAGCGCACCAGATGGGTCACCGGTACGCGTGGTGACATTCACTTCCCAGACCAGAGGACTCTCCCTGGGCGGCTTTCAGGAGCATTCCCTGCCCCAGGAATCAGCCTCCTCCTCCCATCCTGGGGAACGGCCGGACCAAACTGCCCCAGCCCACCACGCGTGATGGGTTTTACCAACCTACTGTGGGACAGGCTGTCTGGCTGCGGAGACATGTCTATTTACCGTGTGTTTCAATGTGTTCGCAACATCGGTCCACAATCCGCGGGACCTGCCAGGTGATGGGGTTGAGGCTCAACGCCTTTTTCTTGCCCAGGCTCCTGCGTGGATCCAGCTCGTGGGGGTGTGACAACTGCAGTGCCTCCAGCAGCTTGGAAGTGTTGTCGCTCAGGTCAGCGATGGAGTCCACGGACATTGCCCCCTGAGATGGAGCAGAGGTGATTTGCAGGAAAAACCCCACATGATCCCAGTACACCGTCATTGCTGTCAACTCAGAAGTTTTTGGGAAAGGGAGGCATCACCTCCAAATGAACACAGAGGTCTACAGATCCTGTCTGGGGTTCAAGGGAACCACAGAGAGACCTTTCATCTCCCATGCACTCTTTTCCGTGCACTGCTGCTAGTGCGAGGTGTCTCTAAACACAGCCTTCCCACTGGGGCAGACCCCACACCGCACGCAGACATGGGGAAAGAGGCAACGTCCCCAAATCTTTCCCCTTTGACTACGCAATACACTGGACTTCGTTACCTGTATGGAGCTGCTTCACACCAGGGGTTATGGACGCTTAGCCAGAGCCTGGTGTGGGTCTCCGCTCCAAAGAGACGAGGCAAACCAAACCCAGCCCAAGACCCACCTCCCCCCACCAGGACCGGGACTAAAGCCAAGAAGGTGGCCAAGGATGACCCATCACACCACCTTCCTTCTCCTTCGACACCAAGGTAGTCAACACCGAAAGCCAACCAGTTCAGCAGCACAGCTGATGTCCCCACAGCAGTGAGGGGTCTCTCTCTGCTGCGTGGCCAGGGAGCCAACAGGACCCACCGTCTACGGCCACAACTTCTGGTGGGAATTTTGCAAGTGTGAGGCCCAGTCTCCAACATGTGATGCAATGGAGGAGCAGAAAAATCCACCCTACTGAGGACGAATCTCTTCCTACCCCTGTCTGCCTTTGGCTGCCTGGCCACGTCCTTCTGGTAACCTTGGCTCCACAAGAGCTGAGCTCGTAAAGCGTGTCCCACCCCTCACAGTCCATCTCAGAGGAGAAGTAGCGGCATCCCCTTTCCCTCAGGGCACACCAGGACTGACCCAACATGCAGCACAATTAACTTACGGTCATTAAGAAAAGACCCTGGGAAACCGTATTTATTGCTGAAGTCAGAGCTTCCCCCGACCCGCACCACCACCACCCATTTTTGGAGCCCGTTTTTGCAGTCATACCCTTCGCTGGCTCCAGGAGCTGTTGTCGAGAAAAGTTGGGGAAAGCGGCTCCTCTGGGAAGACCCCGCAGGGTACCAGGCCATAGCTCCTGCCCATCGGGGACCTCTTCTGCCTCTGAGCCCGAAATCTCGTCACCGTCGCTTCCACCTCCAGGCAGAGCCGGCGGCTCTTCTTCACTGCTTCCTGCAGTTGCTTGTAGGCACGGTCGTTGGCGATGACTTGGAAAAGTGGGATCCCGAAAGTCTGTGGAAAGCAGTCTAGGGAAAAACATGGGGGAAAGGGAAAAGTGTCGCCAGCAGGAAAAACAAGAGGGAGCTGCACTAGCACAGCCCAGCTGCCAGGGGCACGCGTGCACACCTGGATAAAATAATTAACCACCAGAAGGGAATACCAGGTGTGGGAAAATAACAGAAGATTGGCGAGGAGGATTGTAAACACGCTCAACTGACTCGCACCGGGAGTGCTGGACAACACATATCACACTAATTGTTGTTCAGCCTTGTGTGCTCGCAAGTGGAACATCTGCACTTAGATAACGTGAGCCTGGGATGGACTGAGGGACACCTCATCTAGCATACATGAGATCGCTGCCTTGTTGTTGAAGAAGATCAAAGTACAGCAGAAAACTACCCCTGCTTGAACCCTTAAAAAGCAGGCGAGAACAGCAAGTCGGAGCTCACACGTTCCTGCTAACAAGGACTTTCTCCCGCTCTGTGGTGACTGCATGCCCTGCTCGCACCTCTCTGCCCCAGGGTGTCCCTTCGGAGACTCCCCGATTTGCGAGGCATTGAGATTAAATTTGTTCTTTGTCTTTCATCCGTGGTTTTGTGGTTGTTCCTGCATCCCGCCCGAGTCACCTCACACAGCAGGATACTGTAAAGGTGACCACCAGCAGGAGAGTGAAGAGGACAATGTGTAAAACCGATCCAATACCTGACAATGAGGTCTGTACTTCGAATCAGTGCCTTGCATGACCTGTCCCCTCCTGCTCCCTGCTCCTCCTCCAGCTCCCCAGGAGCCTGGGATGGGTGAGAAGAGCATCTCCAACCACTCTGGGCAAACCCAAAGGGGAGCTGCTGCCCCTGGAAAGCCCCGGGGCATTGCGTGGTGGCACCCAGGGCGCAGGGCAGGCAGAGAGCCGAGCCGGGAGGACACGGCGTGGGAGACGGTGTGCCGGAGGAAGAGGAGGGAGATGCATGGGAGATGGGAAGATGGCAGCAAAACTGTCCTCCACCAAGGTGCTTGCTGCAGCCTTGCAGTTTTTCCCAAACTTTCCTTCCTTTTATTGCTTACAGCCTCATGAAGGTGCCACAGCGTCTATGAGGTCACCAGAAATATTTCATACAAAAGATTCTCACCAAGTTATAACCTTCAGTTTTCTACAGGGTTTGTGTCGAGAGTAACAGTCTTGGTATTAACGGTATTTTTCCCCCGTAACTTTCCCCTCCATACGTCTTTGCAGATGCAAGGAGAGCTCTCCCTACTTCCAGCCTCCCCACCACCCTGGGCCAAGGGGTTTGGCAACTGGAGCACAAGCCACGGACCCATTTTGTAAAATATCAGACTGCTGCTCAATGATTTCCTCGAGTGGGCTTCGTACTGGTGTGAAGAAAACTAGTGAGTGCTCATTCCCGTCTGGCTGTGCTCTACACTTCTGGTTTCCTCAGGTTTGAGGCTGACATCTTCCAAGGGACAATAAAACAGAGCTGGAGGCAGTGAGACCAGGGGTAAAATGGGCAAATATTCCTATCTATAGGTCTTTACAAATGCACGTTCCTGCGCACACACATATACATCCCTTCCTGGCTCTGTCACGCCTGTGCACCTATCGTTACACCCCACTCTGGAGAACAGCACAACAACACGGGACGAAGCACCGTGCTGGATTTGGGCGCCCCCACCTCAGCCCCATCAAAAACTACTGATTTGGTTTGAGACTAGGAATGAAAACCCGGGTAAAAGGGAGGCTGCTCACCTTTCTTCTCCTTTGAAAAGCTCTCCAGTTTCTGGCGGATAGATTTGCTGCCTTTAGGTCCAACTACGAGGAGAAAAGAAAGCAAAGGTTCTGCGTGATTAGGCTGGCTTAGCGCAGTCTCCCCCAAAAGACATTTGCCCTCCTGCGCCCCGGCAGGCAGAGCGCGGCCACGGGCACCTCCCACGGGCAGAGGGACACTGTGGCACTGAGGTGGCCATGTCCTAACAATTACTTAATGACTCGGAAAGCTACCTTAATTCATCCTCAGAGGTCTGGTCTCGGCACTGGAAAAAGGAATAAAGCCCCAGAAAAGCTTTTGTGAATGTTTTACAGACAAATAAAGGTAGACAGAACACACACCACCGGAGATCCCGTACTGGTCCAAGAGGGTCAAGCCCCGCTCCTGAGTGTCCCCCACATTGTACATCCAGGGACACCGATCCCTGGATTTTGTCGCAGCAATGAACTGAAAACTCATTCGCCGCCCACGCTAAATCCAGGACAGATCATCCTATTCTGGCTGGGGCTCCTTATCCCTAAGGAATTCTCTGCCTAGACACAGCAATTGTTTGGGTTATGCTGTGGGATTTAGAAGAAAGCTATGAGAGTTGGTATGACCAACATGTGCATAAAAGAATACATTACATTAATTACTGCAGCACCATATGTGTTGTTTCATTCCAACGACCAGATAGCAGGAAGACAAAGAACAACCTGGAGACAAAAACCACCCAGCTAAGGGAACACATCCCATATCAATTCGGAAGTTTGCTGAGGAGCTCTCTCCCCCGTGACGGCTGCCATCCCGAGACCCCCCCGCCCCGGTGCCGCAGCCCTCGCCCCGTCCCTTCCTCCCGAAGCCGCAGCGCTCGCAGGGTCCCACATGGGCTGTCACTGCGGGGAGCGCACGGCTCCTACCGACGGAGTGGGCTGAGGGGAATCCCTCTGGGTTTTACATTGGTATCGGGATCAATATCGGTTCTTTAGTGTCGTTAATGTTAATTATCGGGTCTTATCCTGTTAAATCTGTTTATATTTCAACCCTCAGGTTTCCTTGTTCTTTCCCGATTCCTCTTCCCGGGTGGGGAGGGGTCATCAGGTGAGACGATAATTGTCTAAACGACAATAAATTGTTGTGGGTTCCTCAAACCATAACAATCCCCCTGCCCGGAAAGCCTGAGCCGGTATCTCCATGACAGAGCAACACGTGATTCTCTACAAACCCAGGAGATGATGACAATTGCTTTTCACTGAGATGCGCTACAGCAAGCTCGATGCTGTGCATCCTTCAAAGGTTTCATCTTTCTCGGTCATCTCCTGCTTGAACCACAGACTTGGTCCTGCAGACTTGGCCACGATGAGATGTGGTGCCCATGGTGCGTTTGCTCTGCAGCTCAGGAGGGTCATCCCGGAGGGGGCTGTTTGCTGTCAGGTCTGAGATGCTGCAGGAGTTGTTTGGGATTGAATGAGGGAAGGAGCGTCGGAAGGAAAAGAGCAGCCCAGAGGGTATCAAAGCTGCAGGCTGCCCCAAAAGAGGGGTCACAAGGGGATGCACACCCTACGGTCCTCGTCGTCTGGGTATCCGGAGATATGAGGATTCAAACAGGCGCTGAACACCTCTCCCTCGAGGAAAATAACAACTGTGCAATGGCTGTTTATTAAAGGCGTCAGGGTTTTCACATGGGTAAAGGTTGGGGAGCAAGTACAGACTGGGGGGTGGACCCCAGTGGAGATGGCGCAGCCCAAATTCGGGCATTTCTGAACACTATGAACTTCCCTTAAAACGCTGGGATGGGAAAATGCTGTTGCAGGTGCAACAGTTCCATCGCTCGCTGCCTCCCAGCCAACCCTCGGCAAACAAAGCAATTAGCAGGTAGAAATCTAAAGGGCACAAAGATGGACGAAAGGAGGAGGGATTCACCAGACTTCCTTCCCAACCCAGGTGAGCTTGCGAGTGGTGTCCAAAACACACACAAGGATGAGATCAGGACTTTGCAGCCCCCTCCGCTTGTCCCGCGGGAAGAGAGGAGCCCAACGGACAAAACGGGGCACAAAACAGCAAAGAAGGAAGGACTCTTTTTTGGCACTGCACTGTTCCCTAGAGAAGCTCCTGCTGCAGGGTATCACTGAAAATGGGATCACAACAGCTCAAAATAAAAGAAATAAGAAAAGGAACCGGGATGTTTGTGGTCAGAGTCCCCCAGGGACTGGAAAGCGGTCTGTGGTGGCTGGTGCTGCAGCCCTGGGGCAACCGGGAGCTCTGGGAATGAGAGGGGAGTTTTCCTCTCTTTTCTTGAAGCCGTTTAATTGCATGAAATCTTCCAAATATGAACTGAGACAGGAAACCAAACTTGGACGTCGCCCCGAGGAAGTACTTGCTGTCCACTGTGAGGTTGAGGTTGGGCATCAGGCGAAGCTCTTTCCTTGGGAGGGGTCCCCAGAGACGCGGGGGGCTCCATCCATGGGGGGCTCCAGCCCCAACTGCCCTGGGCCGGTGCTGGTGCCAGCCCTGCTGCAAGCTGTGGTGGGGCTGGACACCCCCGAGCTCCCTTTGGACCTGCACTGCTGATACTCCAGTGCCTAAAGGGGCTCCAGGAGAGCTGGGGAGGGACTTTTTCCAAGGGCATGGAGTGATAGGATGAGGGGGAAGGGCTTTGAACTGGAAGAGGGGAGATTTAGATGAGATATGAGGAAGAAATTCTCTCCTGTGCGGGTGGTGATCCCCTGGGGCAGGTTGCCCCGAGAAGCTGTGGCTGCCCCATCCCTGGAGGTGTTCAAGGCCAGGTTGGACGGGGCTTGGAGCAACCTGGGCTGGGGGGAGGTGTCCCTGCACGGGGCAGGGGGTGGGACTGGATGATCTTTAAGGTCCCGTCCAACCCAAACCATTCTATGATTCTGTGATACCAGGCCACCGTAGGGCTGGTGGGTTGTAGGCATCTCCTGCCCTACTGGGACGCCGAAATACAGCCCAGGACAGAGGAGGCATTCCAAGGTGGCCTGGCCACTCTTGAGTAACAAGCAAATGTGGGAAGGAGGCAGCTGATCCCCAGCTCACTGTGTTTGCTTGGTTAGATGTGTAGACATCGGGGGACGCAGGCAGCTATGGGAACCCCGAGAACGCCTGTATGCCTGTGCAGCCCAGGACAGAGGAGCTCCATCCCTCTGGAGCTTCTATATTTATCTGCCCATTAACCTCAGTAGCACGGTTTCTAGCCTTGTATAAGCCCCATCCCAGCATCGGGACTTTGTGCTGGACATTAATCCAAAAAACAAAGCTTGTCCCATCCCAACGGCATTATGGTAGTCCCAGTGGAAGACCTTGCCAAGTCATATTGCGTCTGGTTTGGATTAGGGGGATCAGAAGCGGACAACAGGCGAGGTCAGATTCTCACACTCCTATGGACACGCAAACCCTCCTCAAAAGGCTGATGAGGCCTTCGGGGCTCCGAGCAAAGCAGGGAACAAAAAATAAAATGGACCAAAATGTGTCACAAATGTCTTTCCATAGACATCATCCCGTGTTATGAAGTGCGGGTGAGTAGCTCAAACTTCAGCCCTCCCTCGACAGGAGCCGTCCTCTCCCACTCCCTACCTTTAGTCAGGCTGAGATCCCCAACAAGCAGCTTCTCCTGCAGCTGGTAGAGAGCGATCTCTTGCAGACTGGCTCTTTCCAGCTCCGAAAGGCTGTGCAGGGGCACAGGCTGCATCTCGGTGCTTTGTCCTGGCAGAAGAGCTGAGATAAAGGTCCTGTGAAAAACACATACACAGAAATAAGAGTCAGGAGCACATCACAGAGACGCCTGCTGTAGGAGAGAAGCTGCTGAAAATCCCAGAATCCCAGACTGGTTGGGGCTGGAAGGACCTCTGGAGCTCCCCCATCCCACCCCCACCAGAGCAGGGGCACCTCCAGCAGTGGCACAGGACGGCGTCCAGGCGGGTTTGGGATGGCTCCAGAGGGGGAGACTCCCCCACCTCTCTGGGCAGCCTGTGCCACTGCTCTGCCGCCCTCACAGCAGAGAAGGCCCTCCTCAGGTGGAGATGGAACTGCCCATGGTCACCTTTGTGCCCGTTCCCTCTTGTCCTGTCACTGGGCACCGCTGGAAACAGACTGTTCCCATCCCCCTGGCATCAGCCTCAAGGCCGTGCTCCATGTGAGCGAAGTCAGGATGGAGGCCAAGTGCACGGTCCTACAGCTGGGTCGGGGCAATCCCCAGCACAACTCCAGGCTGGGCAGGGAATGGCTGGAGAGCAGCCCTGAGGAGAAGGACCTGGGGGTGCTGGTGGGTGAGAAGCTCAACATGAGCCCAACATGGGTCCCACCAGCAGAAGGACACGGAGCTGTTGGAGCGGGGCCAGAGGAGGCCCCGGAGATGCTGGGAGGGCTGGAGCCCCTCTGCTGGGAGGACAGGCTGGCCTTCTCTTCTCCAGGCTGAAGCCCCCCAACTCTCCCAGCCTGTCCTCCCAGCAGAGGGGCTCCAGCCCTCCCAGCAGCTCCGTGCCCTCCTCTGGCCCCGCTCCAACAGCTCCGTCTCCTTATGTTGAGGGCTCCAGAGCTGCAAGGAATATTCCAGGTGGGATCTCACACCCCACTAAACAAGACTGACAACGTTCACAAACTCTTTTTCTCTGCCACCCTCACCCACCCCACCCCCTTTAAATCGGTTTATTTCTTCATTCAATACTTAACATTCAGCTTTATCTCCTGTAAATGGGACACTTCCAGCCCTGACCGGTGCTGCCGAAGCCTCACCAGCACTTTTTCCCCCAACACGGGCTGGACGGCAGCCCACAGCCCCACGCAGGTCGCGGCCGAACACCCGATCCCTCCTCCCACGTCGCTGGGGATCCCCCCACCCCGTCCCTGCAGAGGGACCCGCGCTGGCTCCCGGCTCCTCGCCCCGCACTAACCTGGGTGCCGCATCCTGTGCCCCGCGCCGCCTCCCCGGCACCCAGCCAACGGTCCAAAGAGCAAAAAAGCAGCAGTAAACGGAAGAAAGGAGCGAGGTTATCCGCACACGCAGAGAAAAGATGCGGTCAGAGTACAGGCTGCGAAAGGAGCCTCCCCAAAGAGGGCTTGAAGGCAATAATGAAAAATAAATGCCTATAAATCTCCTCCAGACAGCGGTAAGGGTGAGGACAGCCCAAGGGGGTGACAAGGCAGCGGGCACAGGCTCTTGGTTCCACACGGACTGCCCACCTCCACCCCCGGGGCCCGGGGAGGGCTGTTGGCTGGGGCAGCGTTTCTTTTGGCCAGGTTTTCCATTTCTAAAGATATTTAGAAAGTTACATAAATTTAAAAATAAATAAATGAGTTGTTATGAACTGCCCAGAATCCTAGAATGGTTTGGGTTTAAGTTGGGAGGGACCTTAAAGATCATCCAGTTCTCCCCCTCCTGCCCTGGGCAGGGCCACCTCCCCCCAGCCCAGGTTGCTCCAAGCCCCGTCCAAC